TGAGGAAATAGAGACCTAAGGAGCTAAAGCGATTTTCTAGAGGACACGGTTTTTCTTTTTTTTTCTTTTTCTTTTTTTTTTTTTTTTAATATATTTTATTGATTTTGTACAGAGAGGAAGAAAGAGAGATAGAGAGTTAGAAACATCGATGAGAGAGAGTCATCGATCAGCCGCCTCTTGCACACCCCCCACTGGGGATATGCCCGCAACCAAGGTACATGCCCTTGACCGGAATCGAACCCGGGACCCTTCAGTCCCCAAGCTGACGCTCTATCCATTGAGCCAAACCAGTTTCGGCGACACGGTTTTTCTAAACTGAGCCTAGAACTGAAGACTTATCAATTCTAACCTAGGGTTAGAAACTACACATATCCTCTCAATTTGTGTGGAGACTTTTTCAGTAAAATTTTGTTTGTGGGCCATTTTCCCTCTGCGTTGCCTCCCCCCTCCTTCATTTGCTCAAGAAGTAAATTAATTTTAGCTAGGTAGGCATGGCTCAGTTGTTGAATGTGGACCTATGAACCAGGAGGGTCATGGTTTGATTCCTGGTCAGAGCACATGCTAGCTTTGTAGGCTTAATTCCCAGTGGGGTATGCAGGAGGCCGCCGATTCATGATTCACTCTCATTGATGCTACTCTCTCTCCTCCCTTCCTTTCTGAAATAAAGAAAAAAAGAAATGTTAATTCTAATACTAGTTCACAGCCCCCCAATAAAAACCACAACTTGATTTTCTTGAGGACTTGAGAAATATAATTTCATGTATTTAGACGTTTGCTGTTAGATGTCTTTTAAGCTGGATAAGAATAAAAATATGTATGCATGTAAATTAAATGATTCATTAAAGGCATTATAAATCTGTCATATATTTTAAAAAATATGATAGTGTTTTAAAATCTATTAGAATTTAATGAAAAATTCATTGTTGTAATTCAAGTCAAATAAAAGCGATTCCTGATTATTATTCCTAGTACTTGTCTTTCTTAGTATGAAAAATACAAGAACTGAGTATATCCTAAAGTTTGGGAGAGTATATGAGTGTTAACCATTTGCCACTTCAAGCCAAGAAGCAGCCTAGGATTTTTTCCAAACCAAATTAATATCTACTTAAAATATCTGGATATTTCTGTGGCAAACAGAAACTCCAAGCCTCATAGAGCTCTGACCCTAGCAGTGAAGGGTAGTACAACTCTATCACCTACAGGACAGTCAGCCCCCATCCATGTCCTTCTGAGGCAGGCCTCCATGTAGGTCTGTGCCTTCAGTTTCCATTAGAAAACAACTTAAAAATCATAAAAATTGGGGGAAATAACCATTCTGAGGGTAGAAATCTGAGGGAGCAGTGAGGTATGCATAATCAGTATCTTGTAAGAGTTTACTCTAAGAAGAGGATAGAGAGGGTCATGCCAGATATCCCAGGATTTTAGGAAGATATTGGGAAGAGCTAACATATAAAAGATGAGACTATAGTTTAGTTTGAGAAGTATCTTCTGGTAAATGGACGTGTCTGCCTGTCTCCGTGTCTGTCTTTTCCTAGAATCTAGGCAGTTGTCTGGATTAGGGACTCTGAATTCCCTGTGGAATACAGATGTAGCCCCAGTAAACTCTTCACATCATTCACATCATTGTTGTATCTTTAAATCTTCTGTACAAGAGAACCCTGCTAGCAGATGCCTGCAAACATCCTAGTGTCGTTCCTTAAATTTATCTTTAATTTATGGTTCATAATCCTTGCCTTGATGCCTCCTGGATTCAGACTTTAAGATTCTGGGATATATTCTTCCCCAGAGGAGAGAATAAGACTGGATTTGGCAGTGTGACTGAGGATAAGTCACAACAGCTTCTCCTCTGTAGAACAGTGATCATAATCTATGCTCATCTCCTGCAGACATTGTGAAGAGAAACAGGTAATGAGATAATGTGTTTGAGGACACTAACAGTGGTTCCTTTTTGATAGAAGTCATATATATGCCTTTCTTCCTCCCTCTTTTCCCTTTTTCCCAATACTTGATTGACTGACAGTGACAAATACTGGCTAGGTATTAGGAAGCAGTAGTAAGCAGGGCAGATAAAATCCTTGCTCTCTGGGGGCTTAAATTTCTACCCAGTAACTAATTGGAACAGTTTTCTCTGCCTTCCAAAAGAGCAATCTTTCTCCTGCTCTTCTTAATAGACATTCTCATTGCCATCCTTGTTGATTCTCTTTCCCAGCCTTTACCACAGTGTCTCCCGGTTGATATCCTGTCCTCTCTCTCGGCTATTTCAAAGGAACTTCAAATTCACCACGTCCAAATGTGAACTCATGACCTAAATACTACCCCTCCTACTCCCAAACCTGGTCTTGTTCCGATGGTCTGTGTGTCAGTGGGTTTTCAATATCTTGTCCAGTTGTTTAATCTAAAAACCCATATGTCTCTCAACACTTGATCTTCCATACCTCATATCCACTTCTTCAGCAAGTCCTGTTGATTGTCCTATTTAGTTCTCCATTTCTGTTCTCACTGTTGTTTTTCAAGCAACCACTTCATCCTTTGTACAGACCATCAAAATGTCATCCTCACTGTTCTCATGTATTTTTGCTTCCCAATCTATCATTCACACTTCAGATATTTTTTAGATACATAAATATATTCACGTGGTTCCAGAATTTAAAAGTATGAAAAGGTATTCAATGAAGAGCCTCTCTTCATAAAACGTTACTCATCCTAAACATTCTTTAAAGGTATTTTATGCATATGTAAGAAAATACTAACACACAAGCTGTTTTAAAAATTTTATTATTTATTAAAAAGATGGTGGGAACGGCTGGGGAGAGGTCAGTGGTAGAAAAGGGTGACATATGTAATATTTTAAACCATACAGAATCTAAACTTAAAAATAAAAATAAAAAGATGATACACTATATATATAATAGTTTTCTTCATCTTGTTATTTTCCCCCAATCAACAGTATATGCTGGATATCTTTCCATTGTAGTACATAGTGAATTTTCACATTAATTATTATGGCTGCTTTATATTCCATGGTACAAATATTGAAACTGATGTACATCAAGACAAAACATCTTTTAATGTCTAGAATATTCCATTCTTCCAGTTTGGATAACCTTGTCATGAATTCCCATTCATTACTCTAAGGGGGAAAAACAGATCACTTGCCAGGGTCCTCAGGGTCTGGCCCTTCTCTTTTCCAGGGTTGTCTTATATTGCTTTTTTCCTTGGCCTCCTCTTTGTTGTTGCATGGACATCCCTACCCACCTGAGACCTCTGCAGGAGTTCTTAGTCTCACATGCAGACCCTGATGCTCATTGCAGGAGCTGCGAGCTGTGGTGACTTGGCAGTGGTGGTTCTCGGGTGACACACCTGGAACCAGAGAAGAGGAAGCCCAATTCTGGGGGGTGACACCCAAGAACTGCCGTCTCGCAATCCGGGACCCCCTCAGGAATGCAGAGGGACCCCGAACTGCCCCAGGTGCTACCTGCTAGGGAGGGACCTCGGGAGATTGGCTCCAGGGCATGTCTGCCTGTCTTGCCCAGTTCTGTCCTGCTGGCCACTTTCTAATTTCTTCTCAATGTGCACAAATTTGTGCACCAGGGCACTAGTTATTATATATCTGTATGTGTGATTACTGGTATGATATTTACCTCATACACTAAAAAATGTGTCTTATATAGTGGGTTGCAACCCATTAGGGATTATGAAATCAGTCTTTAAAATTATGACAAGCTCTTTAAAAAAAAAGGAACTGGAATAAAAAATACCAGAGCTCTTTACTTATAGTAAAGATATTTTTTCATCATACTGTACTTCAGATTAATAGATAGATGTGATCACATAAGCACCTAGATACATAGGTTTATTGGTATGATATAAATTGTATTGCTTACTACGGGTCTTAGTCAAAAAGAGTTTGAAAGCCATTGAACTAGATGGTAAATTCTGTAAATTTTGTAAACCATTCCATTCTCAAATCTAGCAGAGGACTCTCGTATATATGCTGGCTGAACAAATGAATGAAAGCATACCTTCTCAGGGTGGTTTACAGATCTACTGTCTTATTCCTCAGTACTAATGGATTCTGGTTCTAGGCAGATTTAGTGATTATTTCCTTGGCCAATTGAATCTGCATTAGATCACTAGAGGAAAATAAAAGTAATAAGAAACAGTACCTACAAATGTATCTTTTAAAGGGACGAACCTTAAACTATTAATGAAATGTTTTTACATTTAAATTATTTTGTATTACTTAAAAATCTTAGGCCTTGAATACCATTTTATTTTATTAATAAATAATGAAACATAATTTTTACCTACCTACATATGTGGGTGATTTTTAATTTCTAAGGTAGTCTACACAGAGCTTATTACATAGCTATTACCTTTTGTGTGTACTTCAGCAATAAAATATTTATGCAGTTTGGCAAGGTGATACTACAACCTGGTTTAGTACAACAGCTGCACTGCCTGTTCCCATGTGGCTTGATTTCCCTTTTTAATCTTCAGTTTTGTCAGCATGTAGTTTATACAGCAGCAGATAATGGTGAAGGCTTCTTGAATTAATATAGTGAAGAGAGAGATACTGTGCTGAATTTACTTGGTTTCATATTTTTCTAAGTCTTTGAAAAACATTTTCTTAACGTGTCCTACACAGTAGATGTTTATAAACATCACATATTTACAATGAGACACTTTTGTGACTTTTTTATTCTTTAAAGAACCTGTAAACTCAAGTTAGAATCTCTGATCTTAAAAACTGGGAATATTTCAGTTCTAAAGTAATCTGTGTTTTGGCTTAGCATAAATTAGGGAAATGCAGGAAATACAAGAATGCCTCTTGTATTTATTTTAAGTCATAAATTTGTATGTGTAATTGACTTGAGATTGGATTAAAAAGTGTTTAGGCAAAGAGTACATAACCTTAATTCTTTTAAAGTTTATTATCAGAGCCCTTTTAGCACAGTCTTTATCTAGCATATGTGTTATTTTTTTCTTTTTATTTCTAGGTGCTCCTGATCCAACAGCAGGTGCTAGTATAGATGATGAAAACTGCTGGCACTTAGATGAAGAGCAGGTTCAAGAACAGGTTAAACTGTTCCTTTCCCAGGGCGGGTACCACGGATCAGGGAAGCAGCTTAATTTGCTCTTTGCAAAGGTATGATTGTTTATTTTTAAAGAAATATTCTAACTATATACAAATACAGCAGGTATCTTTATATGATCATGTTTACAATAGTGTAAAGACTTGCCTTTTGAACTTTTTTTAAAGAATACATTCTAAGTTAATCAATTAGAAATGTCTGTGTTCTAACACAAGTATTAATTTGCTTAGAGGTCCTTAGACAAGATGTGGAATCCTTTTTTCTCTCTCAGTTCCTATTAATAAAATTGTGACAATTTACACAATTTTGAAAGAACATTCCCACTAAAGCCAAAATAAATATCCTAATGGTATTTAAAATGCCATTTTGTCTTTTTCTAATTAATTTCCCCAGTAACTTGAATACAACCCTTAAAAGGTGCTTTATATTTTTAGTTTAATAATGTCAGTATCTTTAAATTTGTTTTAAGAGCATAGACTTTGAAGTCATATAGACTAGGGTTTAAATCTAAGTTCTAAATCTTAAGTGGATGAAACTTAGAAAGTTTTTAAAGTCAGTTTCCTCATCTATAAAATTAGCTAATAGTAGCATATCTCCTCAAGTTGTGATCATGGTGTTAAATGATAACTGTGTCTAACATGTCCTTGGCCTTGGTAAATTTTCATCACCAAAATTTGATGACCTAAGAAACAAAGTTATCTTATAAGTTCTATCTGAGCAGAATCTGTAGTTTTTTTTTTAAAAAACTTTTTATCTGTAGCTTTTAAAGAAGTTTTACCATAAACACAAATCTAAATTTTGGATAAAGTGCTTTTTTAATCATATTAAATCATTATTTTTTTCATTGGAGTTACAGCCATCTTTATTGGTATTATATTCAGTTTGGCTTTAAGGGAACAGATAATTGTACATTGATACTTTTGTTAAGCAATCTTTCTAATATTCATAATTAAAATATATCTTTCAGTTCAGAAGAATTAAAGTAAACTCTGTTACTGGTTACGGCCAAAAAATAGTGTATTCTGATGCATCATATTCTCTTACTAAAGACTTATTCCGTATACCGGGGTGGGGAACTTCCAGCACATGGCCCGTATAAGGCCCACAAAATCATTTGGTCTGGCCCTGCCAAGGCATTAGGGGTAAGTTAATTAAATGTTTGACAAAATATAACAAGCTGATTTTTAAGCTTATAATTTTGTATGCCTTGCGAATGATGTTATAAATATCCAAATGGCCCTTGGCAGAAAAAAGGTTCCTCCACTCTTGCGGCATATACCATACAGAGATTGCCAATCTTCTGATGATTAGATTTACAAAAAATACACTTAACTTTAAAATTATTTACTCATGGTTTATTCATCTTTCGTAACTCATAGGCACTTCAAACTCCTTTAATGTCTCAGAGTCAACAGTCTGAAAATTAATTACCATTATGCTATAAATGTAGTACTTGAGTGTTGGATAATAGTATTGATTTATATGCTTACTAGTGCTTATTTTCATTGCTATTTCTAGCTGAGTAATAGGTTAGAAGTTTATCAGGAAAGTAAACATTAAATCAAACTTGGTATAGTGGTAACTATTAAAGGTTTAGTATATTTAGACACACTGGAAGTATTTCATAGTCTCATGCCATCAGAGGCCTAGTAGAAGCAGTGTGAAAGAGGTGTTAGACTGGCCTTAATTAGTAGTTTTTATCTCTATATTATGTATATATTACATATGACATATGAACTAACATCACCTTCTGATTTGGGAATGGCAAAACTTAGTATTCAGTAGAGTTAAGACAGATCTGGATTCTGATTTTGTCACCATATATTTGACTCCTTTAGCCCTTTGTACTTTAACTTAGTTTTATAATTCATAAAATGGGGATTATAATCTGGCCTACTTTATATGGTTGTTATAAAGATTAAATGGTAAGTATAAATGTAATTTAAGTATGTGTACAAAAAATGGCAGCACCCTCTTTCTTCCAGTCTTCATCTATTCATGAATTTTTAGTGCTTCTGTATTAGTAATAAATTCCTTTTTAAGATTACTGAGATAACCTTCCTGGAAGCATAACCCTTGTGATTTACTGTAGAAATGCTTTTGAGTTCTTCACAAGGCTCGCATTCTAGAACCTATGAGGGGATTCCATCACTTGTCAGGGTACAAGCCTGAAGGAGGATGTATTGATCTGGAGGTTTGAGATGCTTTATTGACAGTCTGCCATTTCCTCCTCATTTGCTGTTCACAAAGAGAGTATTTTGAATCAAAGGACCTACCTCTCCTTTTCCACTGTTCATGACCTTGCTCTAGGAATTTCCTATGGAGAGAACTGGTAATCAGCTGGGCTTCTTGTTGAATGCGTAGCTGTGCACTTTTGGAAAGGATGAATTCATTTAGGGTTTCCTGTTAGCCTTGTGTTTCTTTTCTGCCTTTCTTTTATTTTAAAAATGTAGCACAAGAGTAATGGACAGAGAGCTCGAGGTTCCTGCATGAGAGACTGAGAACTTCCTAGGGCCCTAGTCATGATTTTGATTCGTGGATTACTTGTTTAGAGCCAAAAGGGTTCTTGAACCTACAGCCGGGTTCACTTTCCTTTTACCATTGCAAAAGTAGTCCATCAAAATGAATATGACATTGCTCTTTATGCCAAAGAACTTCGGTGAGAGAGAACTTACTGAAATTACTAACTTACCTAAAAAACTGAAGAGTTGCACAACTTTGTAAATATACTAAAAACCACTGAATTGCACAGTTTAAATTGGTGAATTGTATGTATGTGAATTTTGTCTCAATAAAACTGTTTCTAAAAAACTCTGCAGGGCAGATGCTATTGTAAACATCATTAGGTCAATTCAGAAGATCCTCTAAAGAGTTCTTAGTAGCTTGCTTTTTAGGCTCACCTCATCTGGTTGGAAGTGCAATCAACTGGGGAGTCAGAAAGATGCCAAATGGTTTGTCTTGTTGGTTTGGTACTGTTTTTCTGGAATCTAGCAATTTTTCTTTTTGAACTGGAAGTTAGTAAAATTTCTTTCCTTCTGTGGATTCTAAAACAATATAGAAAACTAAGAGTAAGTTTCAGTTCTTTGATTCAATTACCATTTAGGGTAGAAACCAGTTTTAACAACTTTTTTTTTGCTTAAGAGAGTTGGTGTCGAGAATTAACTGCCCCCCTCCCAAGAAAAGTGATCTGTCTCTGTATTGCTGTTTGTTTTTGAACGTTTTTTTAAGTCTTTTTTCCCCCCCACTAGGTTCGGGAGATGCTGAAGATGAGGGACTCTAATGGGGCCCGCATGTTGACCTTGATAACAGAGCAATTCATGGCTGATCCTCGTCTGTCACTTTGGAGGCAACAAGGCACTGCGATGACTGACAAATACAGGCAGCTCTGGGATGAGCTGGGTAAATATAAATTTCCTGACAGATTGCTATTGAGTTATATTGTTGAAGACCATGTTGAATGTTTAAAGAGCATGATCAGTGTATTGATGAAGAGAGAGCTCTACTCATATATGAACTTGTTGCCAAAATATACTGGGTAGAAGATAGGGAGAATAAGGACTTTGCAGGAAACAATCTTGGCAGGGTTTGGAGGGAACTGTCTGATCTTAAGGAGAGCAAGCACAGGAATCACCTTTAAGGATTTGAGAAACTGTATTACTTTGAAATAAGTAACCTGTATAATAATAAAAAACTAATATGAAAATTGTCCCCTCCACAGGGGTTCCACTGGGAGTTCAACCAGGAGGCAGGGCTGGCCGGCCAACCATCCGCAGCCCCTGCCCCCGGCTGGCCTGACTCAGTCGGCAGGTGTGGGCCTGCTGGACCTCATCTGTGCACGAATTTGTGCACCAGGCCTCCAGTTTTGTATAAAAGAGCTAGTTCCTTGTTTTTAGAGTAATATTGTGATCAAATCAGCTAAACTTTGGCTGTTTTTCCCTACATTAAAAAAAGTAGTTTGAACATTCATTTTATATTTTGACTATTATAGATTAAAATGAACTAATGATCATAAGAATAAAAAATATAGAGCAGACTCTTTGCTTTCCAAATCCTTGGTGGTAAAGATATTAATACAGCAGGGTTGAAAAAAAAAGGAGAAACAGCTGTCATGTTCACTGATAAATGTTGGGGGATGACTCTTGTTACCTAATGCTCATTGCTAAAGAATAACTTACTTATTATTTTGTTTTTCTATTAAGAAATCTATGTGGTGAATGGAATTTTTTAACAAGTACTTTATTGTGTTTGCATTAATTTTAAGTTCTTGCCAGGACCGGTTTGGCTCAATGGATAGAGCGTCGGCTTGGGGACTGAAGGGTCCCGGGTTCAATTCCGGTCAAGGGCATGTACCTTGGTTGCAGGCATATCCCCAGTAGGGGGTGTGCAAGAGACAGCTGATCGATGACACTCTCTCATTGATGTTTCTAACTCTATCTCTCTCCTTTCCTCTCTGTATAAAATCAATAAAAAAATATATATTTAATTTTAAGTTCTTGGTATATTTACTAAAATATCTCGGTCTAAATGCAGTTGAGTAGTAGAACTCTTCACATGTTCATACCTGTCTTCATCTTGCCTAATGATGGGGGGACATATCAGGCTAATTGATCCCATATCTATTCTAGACCAAGTGAAACTTGCTGATGAAGATACCACATGGTCATAGTAATTGAAATGGACTTTTGAGATGAACTCTTTTACAGAAAAGAAAACTAAATTTTGAGGAGGTTAAGGGACTTCCATAAGATGACATTGTATGGCGTAGGGTTATACAACAAGTTGGTAAAGAATTTGACATGCAAGTTTTCTTCTTCCCATTAATAGGATGTGTGTTCAGGAACTTGACTGTGGATGGCAACTCTTGGTAAATGTCAATTTAATCTTGGTATTTTCCTTGTGGACCTGAAAGAATAAAGGCGATGGCCTTCTCTCTCCCTCCCCCCACTCCCAATTAATCTGTAATGTCAGTAGATGTTTTTAGTATATTGGAGGGATATTTGGGAGCATGCTGTAGTGGTTAGAAAACATAGGTATAATGCATGGTTTAAACAACTACTTTTATAGAATACTGAGTGTTTGACTTTCCTAAGTAATCTATCCCCAATTTTGTTACAGTAAATGCTGAATTCAGTAATTGGTTTATGATGGTAAAAAGGACTAGCACTAAAAAAAACTATAATGAAGGGAATCATTTAAGAAAACTATTGTATTAATATTAAATGAATAAAATTTAAAGAACTTTGGGACTTAGAGAAGCTTAGAATTACAAATAACTAATAAGAAGAAAATACCAACTAAATGTATTGGTTATCAAATAAATACAGTTGATATAGCCAAAACTTGGATAGTTCACATTTAATCCATTAGTCACATCTTACTTTTCTAAGTTGGTTTTGAAAATTGTGTACCTCAACCCTTAATCAAAAGTACAAAGTCTCATTAGGTGGAAGTTTCCATGAGCTGATTCTAGTTATACCCTCTGAAGATCTTCTAATTATGGACCACGCTCTAGTCAAGTTTGATTTCAGTCCAGGATGAAGAGTACATCTTCTTGCCCTATGTTGTCTTTCATCACACCCCGTCCCCAAATAATTACTAGATTGCTATAAATTCTATGTATTCTGGTGGTGAGCAGAGGTCACCTGCTGTTTTAATGGGGTTTGAGTTCTGTGAAGAATTCTACTTAGAACAATAGCTATCACATCTTAATATTCATTCACCAAAAAATTAACTAAAAGTTGCTTCTGGACTACAAAGGGAAAGGATTTTGGTTCTTAATAAAATGGGGGAATTTGACTTTGTGCCCCTGCACTGGGCTCACATTGCTTCAAGGCTCTGCTCTGGAATTAAATGCTGAGCGCTGCCAGATGCCAGACATTGAGAAGAGGCTGAGTTTTGTCGGCAAATGGGATCTGCAAGTTAATTGGTGTTTTCTGCAGGCTTCTGGCTGTGAAATGAAATTGGAAGCCCTTTAGCCACACGGATAATACAGGACTTGAATACAAATGTCACATGTCACCATCAGGACCCACTGTGAGACAATAGTGTTCCCACTCCAACACTGCGCCATTACAGATCATTTAAATATGGGGATTACATTTAAACTAAAAGCCCCATTTGCCTTTTACTGCAATTTAAATGTCCTCTTAGCAAAAGCTAAGTGACAAATTAAATGAAAAAAGTGCCCACATTTTTAAAGCTGTAATGCAAAACAACCTTTTATTGCTTCTCATGTGCCACGAATGAATCATTACACTTGTCAACCCTAAACCAAGCCATAATTGGAGCAGCTACTGTTATCAAAGTGGGGCTGCTCTTGTGACAGCTTAATAAAACTGAAACTGTTAAATTAAATCTCAGATGCTTAACTCCTTAGCACTGGTGGATTCGATGGGTCCATTTCTGGCAATGACCAATACACCAGAAAAAAACAACAACAAAACTTCCTGGCATGAAAGCTTTACTTTGAAGAAAGTACAAGTAAGACTATCTTGGCTAAGTAACTCTGCTTCTTGGCAGAGGGGTTTGGAGGCATCAGATTCTTGGCCAGATTACCACAAAAAAAAAATAAAAAAATAAAAAAAATTATAGGATAGATATTCCCCCTCCCCAGAATTTACAATATTCTGAGTATATGTAATTTATTAAAATTTAAGTGTTGCTGATTTAAAATTAGTTTTAAAAAGCAGCATTCACTTAACTTTTTCTCACATCAGATAAATATATATAAACTTTTTTTGAGGTAGCAACAGGCCAAATTTCTTCCCCCATTCTCTGGCCAACAAAAGAACTAATTATGCTCAGTTCTTCTTTTCTAAAATAAGTGCCTGTGATATTCATTTGGTCTGAGATAATTTTGTGATTTACTCCCTGATTTTCATAATCTAGTATGAAATAAATACAAATGCATATTAAGCTTCTGTTTAGTCCATCTCATTTGCAGATACTTTGTCTTGTTTGTGAATCAGTTTTTCATATATTAATTTTAATTTCTCTACATGAATGTTAATTTTCTTAAGCCTAAGGTAGTCTTCTCAAGAGGAGTATTATTGTGTCATGATCAGCTATAAGAAAAAGTGTGTATTAAAATCTTAAGACAGAAAGCCCCTTGCAATGGTAGAAGCTAAGCTGCACATTTGATATTGGCTACACAGCTAGTAGAGCTGTAGAACACACACCTCTTGAATTGCTTTTGTTATTCCATAACTTGCAAATTTCTTGGAAAACAGATCATAGGTACTACTTGGGATTTCAAAGAACAACCCAGTGCTATTGGTGATGAGCACACCTACTGGTTGGCCCTAATGGCTGTCTATTCAGCACACTTAATTATTGTGGGGGTATGAGGGGATATATTATAACCTCTCATCTGTATTGATGGGTCTCTTCGCCTTAAATATTTCCTAGACTATAATTTTACTTTGCTTTTTAAAACTACAGGTTGTGGCTGCCAGTTTATTAAAACCTAATTAAAATGGATGTCATTAGAGGAAACAGTTAAATAAGATTTAATTACAGTTTTATCATGGGGAAAAGACTTAAATTTTTACTTTCAAGTATTACATAATACCCCCCCTGTGTGGCGCGGGACACCCCCCCACCCCCATTTTAAACACTTAACTTTCTCTGTAAGCTGAGTCATGTGTTTTGCTATTTAGCAGAAATAGCCATAGTTAGATGTTTCTTTCTTATTTAAATTTCATTGTAAGGTTAGTTTGACCACTGTTATTAAGCAACAGCTATATTGCTGGACAGATTGAGTAGGTTACAGACTCAGAGCACTTGAAATGAGTTAGCAGTAGAGGACTTAGTTTACTCATTGGGATCACATTTATTTAAAATACTAAAAATTACCTATACCATGAATCTAGAAAATGCTGTTCCTTCTAAATCCCCAGATAGAAGTAGTCTTCTCTCATCTCTGGGCTTATTCTACACCCTCCCACATTATTCCTTTAAAAAAAAATTTTTTTTAATCTTCATCTGAGAATATGCTTATTGATTTTAGAGAAAGAGGAAGGGGAGGTGGAGGAAGATAAGCATCAGTGTGAGAGAGAAATATTGATCAGTTGCCTCCTGTATGTGCCCTGATCTGTGGTCAAACCTGAAACCTAGTTATGTGCCCTGACTGGGAATCAAACCAGTCTTTTATTGTGTGGGATGATGCTCCAATTAACTGAGCCACCCAGCCAGGGCTACCCATAACATTATTCTTGAATAAGGAAGAAAACATATACTTGTTACGCATTCTAGAGGATATAGTAAGACCCTTTGTGCACAGCCAGAGATAATATTCTGAAGTCTCTGGTTTGGGGGGGTAATTGTGAAGTTTCTGGGAAATGCCGTCTTACATTTCTGAAAGCAGTAGGCTAGGAACCCCCTCCATGCTCCCCCCCCCC